TGCTTGGTGTACGATTACCCGAGACAGGACAGTGTATATGCCCGTAATGAAGTCGAGACAGGACAGTGTATATGCCCGGCTGAAGTGTGCTTGGTGTATGATTACCGGAGACAGGACAGTGTATGTGCCCTGCTACATGGTATGTATAACTGAATAACACATATTGTATTCTCAGTTCAAAAACACAGTAAATTGCATGTATCGTGGTCTGAATTTTTTCTTTTAGTCTTAGTTTTATTTAGGAGAGGATGTGATATGGAATACACTAAGGGTGTGATTGGTTGGGGTGATTGATTGGGCTTGATGTAATCAAGTAAGTTGGGGCCCAAGTGATAATTTGTATATTATACATTGTTTGGTTTGTGTTTTGGGTGGTTTGATAAGGGCCTCATTATATTATTAACCCATTTGGTTGGGAGGAAATGATCAATTTGAACATTTTTTAAACAACAAAAAGAAGATTATTTCCAATGTTGCCCTTGGCCCATAAAAACACCAGTAGGATTATTAAAAAAAAAAAAAATAGTGCCTTCTCCTTCGACCCCCCTTCTTCGACATTCCTTCATCGATGTTCTTGGAAACCCTCCCAACAGTGTGCGTTCAATAATTTGCAACGAAAGGGCAGGAAATACCCACGATTCCTTTTTCGTCTCATCCGGCGATTGAAAGGAGAGAAGGCCGTGTACCAACCAAATCCCAATCAGGTGAGCATAGGGTTTTCGATTGTTTATTTCAATCAATTAAATTATTGGTTATTGTTGAAGATTATGACAACTCTTATTATGATCTCCTCTGGTTCTATGTTCTTTATTTGCTTCATGCAATTGTAAATTCGTATGCAATTGTAAGCATAGATAGTTTAGTGTTACTGCTGTGAACGTCGCTTTTTTTGGTTCTGCAACTTGTTTTAACTGGTGCGAATGCAAAATGTTTGAATCATTGTATGAAAGATATTTGGTCTTGGTGAAAACTCCCATTTTGTGGATGTCATGTATTCTTTGTTTCTGTAATTACAACTTCAATTGTCAACTGCAAACTTACGAGTTTATCCACTCTGTAGACTTTGAGAATGGCTGCCA